ATTCTAGAAAACCAATAAAAAGTTTACTTATATATTCACCCCCTCTATCAGTTTGGAGACACTTAATTGAAGTATTGAACTGAGTTGAAACAAATGCATTAAATTTCACAAAAGTAGTATAGGCATCAGATTTATTAACTAAAGGAAATATCCATAAGAATCTTGAATATTCATCAATGAAACTGATATAATATTTGTATCTTTCTATTGATATCTTTGGAGAAGACTCCTATACATTTGAATGTACTTTTTGAAACATACAACTTGCACTATTTTGTCTAGCATCAAAAGACTATCTACACATTTTACTCTGAACACAAGAAGAACAGATAGATTTAGATGAATCTATACTACCTGAGGTATTAGAAGCTTTTAACATTGTTGACAAAACTTCCTCAGATGGATGTCCAAGCCTCTTGTGCCATATTGATATCTTCACCACTTTTCCAATCAAACCAGCTTGTAGTTCTTTATTCATTCCAGCAACATAAAACTTTCTTGAAAATACTGTCACAGGTATAGTAAACAGATCCCCATCACTATTTCCTTGGTACAATATCACCTTTGTAACCTTGTCCTGTATGAAAAACATAAGATCATCACATATAAACCAACATCCATTATCATGACATAGTTTCTTAACTGATAAGAGATTCACAATTATACTAGGAACATGTAGTACATTATTTAAATGTAAGAAACAATCATGAGTAAATAGAATTGTTGATCAAACATGTTTTACTTCCAGACCTTGACCATTGCCTATAATGATTTTCTCTTCTCCATTATAGGGCCTTGTTTGATTCAGGTTCTCCATATTTGCTATCATGTGGTGTGTTGCACCAGTGTCGAGCACCCATGTGTCTGCACCATTGAAATCATGAACTTGATGTGCATCAGTATTAGGATTAAATTCTTAAGATCCTTGAGCTGTCATTGCAGTTATTGAAGTAGGTGGAGCTGAAGGTTGATAGGAGTAGTTATTTAGATGGTAGCACTCAAGAGTCATGTGCCATTTCTTCCCACATATTTGACAATTCAGAGGTGGAGCATATACATTTTATTCTGAGGATTGGTAGTTCTGAATTGACAATTTGGTGCAGTGTGCCCCATTCGAGAGCAGATTTGGCATTCAGGTGACAACATCGGTTTATAGTTTGTACTACCACTCCAGCTGTGCCAATTACTTCCGTGTTTAGAACCATTAATGAATGTAGACCCATTAGAACCATTAAACCTTGATTGATTGAAGCCATTGTTACCCTTGTATCGATTTCCAGAATATGGTCTTGTAAAATTATTTCCAGAAGCATATCTGTTAGAACTAGAGGACCCTTTGTTCTGAGACGAATAAGGCTTTTGACTTGAACCCCCTTGATAACTGCCAGACCCCATGTTTGAGCTTTCTCCTTGATATCTTCCTTGTTCTCCATTACTCCTTGAATTAGAGCTTTCACCATACATTGCAGGCGTAGAATTAGTTAAGGAAGAAATTCTGGATTCATTTGCCAATTCTGCACTCATCAACTGTGCTCTAAAATCCTTTAACGAAATTGATGTCTCTCTTGCCAAGATAACATTTTTTATCATATCAAACTTTTGTGGCAACCCTATCAAAGCAGCTATAACCCGATCATTATTAGAAACCTTTTCACATGCAGAAAAAAGTTAATCTCGAAAAGATTTCAATCGCAGTAAGAACTTATCAACTGAATATGCTCCTTTCTGTGTTGTGTAAAATTCAGTCTTCAATTGATTAATTCTTACAACAGACACTGAAGCAAATCTATCTTGCAAACAAGTCCAGGCTTCTTGAGATGTTTTACAACCAATAATATGCTCCATTGTATCATCAGATAAAGTTGCTATTAACAAACTAAGCAATGCCATATCCTTTTTAACCCAGCTTTTATATGCATTAGCGATCATATCCATGCAAGACTGCAAACTCCATTTCACAAAGTTGTCATCTTGCAATTTCACAGTCAACATTCCTAGAAGGCCTTTAATTTTCACAGAATCCACTGTATTCCTAGACATTATGATGACTATTACCAAATTCTGCTCCGTTTACAAGCAAGAAATTCAAGTAGAAAACTTTCCAATTACAAAGATTATATGACACAGCAAAATCTTTCCACCTTGACAATCAAGAAACAAATTCACTTCGAGAATCGCCCTTCAACAAACAATATTCAATCAAGAAATAAACCCCTCTTCGGCAATCAGCCTTCAAAGAAGAGAGACGACAAGAAAACAATTCAATGTGGCAATTGGCCTTCATTCAAGATTTCATACTCCAACAATCGGCCTTTAATGGAGTGTTAAGAAAGTATATATCAAGAAGTAACGACTATCAACCTTGTAATTTTTCACAGTTTCAAAGAAATGATGGCAATCGGCCTTGTAATTCATCGAACAAAGAAGGAAATACTCACTGACACAAATCAACAAACAGGTAAAGTGAACAGACCTTTGCTCTGTTGAAACACCATAATTCGAGCACCAAGAACAGCAAATCACCCAAACCGAGCATAGCAACAACAAATCATGCGGTGAAAGAGCAAAAAATCACCAATGACCGACCTCCGGCTCTAATACCATATTAACAGAAATGCAGAAAGAGCATGTATCGAAGAAGAGGGAGAATGCAATGAGAGAGAGAGAGGAAGTAAATTGTATTATGAAAGATTGATCGATACAATTACATTTTGTTAGCCTTTTATTTGTAGGCTATTACATCTTACTCACTACACTTTCAACCACCTTAACTAACTTCCCTTTATCTCTCTAATTTGTGCTGACTTGGCAGCTGAGCTGTCCTGTGTTAACTTGGCAGCTTAGTCTTCATTTCCTTTCAGCCAACATTTGTGTGCTTAATTGTCGTCATTAGACGTCGTAGTCCCTATATGGTCGAAGCCTTTTGGCGTATGTACAAAAAAATAGTCAAGATTGTAAACCTTGAAGGGTAAATTTGAAGTTAAATTTGAAGTCCATATGCAATGTTAGGGGTTTATGGGCGAGAAAATAATAATACTATTCTTAAAGTGTGTTTTGTGCAAGTCATGTGACTTAAACTAACGGAGAATTAGATGTAATAGCTTTTGTTGATGCAAGATCTAATTGTAAATGTAACATCCCACATCGACCAACGAAAAAAAGGTGATGTGCCTTATATGTACATGCCCACCTCCAGACAGCATGAGGCCTTTGAGAGCTCACTGGCTTCGGGTTCTATCGGAACTCCGAAGTTAAGCAAGTTCACTTGAGAGCAATGCCAGGATGGGTGACCCACTGAGAAGTTATCGTGTGAGTTCCTATAAACAAAACGCGAGGACGTGGTCGGGGCCCAAAACGGACAATATCATGCTATGGTGGAGTCGAGCCTGGGATGTAGTGGGGAAAAACATCCCACATCGACCAACGGAGAGGGGGTGATGTGCCTTATATGTACATGCCCGCCTCCATATAGCACGAAGCTTTTTAGGAGCTCATTGGCTTCGGGTTCCATCGGAACTCCGAAGTTAAGCGAGTTCGCGCAAGAGCAATCCTATAATGGATGACCCATTGGGAAGTTCTCGTGTGAGTTCCCAGAAACAAAACCGTGAGGGCGTGGTCGGCCTAAAGCGGACACTATCATGCTACGACGGAGTTGAGCCTAGGATGTGGTAGGGGCCCGGGCTGAGATGTGACAATTTGGTATCATAGCCAATCCATGGCCGGAAGTGTGCCGACGAGGACGTCGAGCCCCTAAGAAGGGTGGATTGTAACATCCCACATCACCCAGGAAAGTGGATCCTGTAAGCCTTATATGTATATTCTCATCTCTACTTAGCACGAGGCATTTTGGGAGCTCATTGGTTTTGGGTTCCGTAGGAACTCTAAAGTTAAGCGAGAAAGGGGCCAGAACATTCCCAAGATGGGTGGCTTACTGGGAAGTTCTCGAGTGAGTTTCCAGAAATAAAACCATGAGGGCATGGCCGGGGCCCAAAGTGGACAATATCGTGCTACGGTGGAGTCGAGACTGAGATGTGACAGTATGGTATCAGAGCCACTCTGCCGTTCTGTGTGAGTGTGTCGACAAGGACGTCGGGCCCCTAGGGGGCGGTGGATTGTAACATCTCACATCGACCAACGAAGAAGGGTTGATGTGCCTTATATATACATGCCCACCTCCATATAGCACGAGGCCTTTTGGAAGCTCACTAGCTTCGAGTTCCATCGGAACTCTAAAGTTAAGTGAGTTCGTGCGAGAGCAATCACATGATGGGTGACCCATTGAGAAGTTGTCGTGTTAGTTCCCAGAAACAAAACTGTGAGGGTGTGATCGGGGCCCAAAACGGATAATATCGTGTTATGGTGGAGTTGAGCCCGGGATGTGGTGCGGGTTTGGGCCGGGATGTGACAATAAATCACATATACACACGCTCAAGAACGCATGGATATATTATTGTTCACCCGAATTGAGGCTATGTCCACGTTGGCGTAGTCTCCAGTTTCCATTATATAATGTAGGTTACAATATAGAAGAATGCTTTTGCCGTTGAGAGAGTAAACTGGCTAGAGTTTGGAATGAGAGGCTCTCCTCTAAGAGGGATTTCTTTTATAGTACTAGGGTTACCCTCGTGGTACCATGATTCTACCAAAATAACGTCCTACTAATCACATACATAACATGCGTGGAAATTACTAATATTTTATTATAATAATACTTACAAAAGTAACATTTAGTATTTTTTGTTTTAGTTTACATTTTTCTTTAAAAAACTAAAACTAATTAACAAATAAGTTTTTAGTTTTCAAATAAAATGAAAACTGGAAATAAAATTTCGTTACCGAACGACTTGAGCATAACGTGTTCGACTAGTCAAATGTTCAGCATAACGAGATCGACAAGTCAAATTTTCATACTTTGACAGTTTCGTTGTAATTGTGAAGGTTGAAAAGGAGAGCGTGTACCTGCTTAAAAATACAGTAACTTGCCTATTGGTCCATAAATTTTGTGGGATCAGGCTTCTCTGCCCTCCCACTTCCCATACACTTCCATTCTCTTCTATTTTGTGCGGTCACAGTTAAGCCACGTTAATATTTTATATTAATTTTTTTTATAGAGATAATAAGACAAAAAACAATAGCAATATAAAATGTTAACATGATTTAACCGTGACCGCACAAATAGGAGAGGATGTGAGTGTGTGAAAAGTGGGAGGGCAGAGAAGCCAAGTCTAATTTGCGCGAGGTGAAAATTAAGTCCTCAAACTTATTAAAATTTGTCAAATTAATCCTTATTATAGGTCCAAAACTAATCCATTCAATTTTACGTGAGATTGCGAACTTAACTACCTAGAGAAATTAACAAATACAATATCCAGTCAATTGTTTTTATATCGATCTTGTTTATGGTTTTCTGCATTCCTATTTGTGTCATAAAATTCCCTCTTTCTAACAAGCTGCTATAAAAATCCAGTCAAAGTGGGTTCTAATGTTTGCCTAAATTCGTAAGAAACCCAGGGAGGGGCTGAACATATGCTCAAACAATTTCTCGTTGCCCTAATTTCAAATCCCGGAAAATACCCCACTGCTGCCTCCCGTAAGAGTCTGGGCAGTGTCTCAGTCCCAATGTCAATGTCGCTGATCATCCTCTTAGACCAGTTACTAATCATGTACCAACAAGAGAGGATGACAGTTTTCGTCAGAAAACCATGCACCGTTGAGTTGATTTGATTTCTAATAGTAACATAGAAATGCTGCAACATTTTAATTTTCTGTTCATATTGCTGCGTTCTTCCTTCTAATTTTATATGGCTTACTTTGTTGCCATCTCTCCTTGACTAATTTGGTTTGAATCTTTCCCTGAGGATAAGCCAACACATTTGACTAATAAATAAAACACCAAATCAACAAATTCTTTGTTTGGATAAAAGCCAAATCCGGCTTAAGATGGAGACTGAAATTAGATTTAGGTTTGAAGCACTTCTCGTTAACTTCAACTGATGCAGGTTTTTCCAAATACTAATTCATATATGAAACATGAGGCAAACTACTCAACTTAACTACCTAATACTATTTGTTAAAAAAAAAAACTACATATTACTAGAGATTAGATTTTTATAACAAAGAACATCAATAATATTAAGTGTAAAATCTCATATACGGTATAAAAGTCTATTCTCCAACTGCAGCTGCCCAATTAAAGAAAAGAACAACATGCATGGAAGGTGACATTTCATTTTTATTATTGCGTACCTCCCAACCTCCTCTTTAATTAGCTAGGGTTGACATGGGCCAATTCTTCTTTAAACATTTCAATCTTATGCCATAAATACGTATAAATATTAGGCAGTTCAATGTTTTTAGATGAAATTTATAAATTAGGTTTTAAAAGATGCTAGACGCTAGTTGGGTGGTGGGTTGAGGCTCAGTCGCCTAGGCAGATTAAGTAAGTTCATTACATATTATATAAACAAGTGTCTATTTACATAGTTGTGTAGGATACATAAATTACAAAATAAAATGAACATATAGACTACAAAACATTATAACATATTGAAAACATGGGGTGTGTCATCCAAGTATTCAATAAGTCTCTTACATTTGATTGAAAAAATAAAATACAAAATTAAAATCGATTTTCTATTTAAGTGAGATTCAAGACCTATGCAGGTCTAGATGGGTTAGGTGGGCTAGGCGTATTTTCTTAATTTTTAAATGCTTTGGGATTAATCGGGACGGTGTCTAGCCCCTAGCGCCTAGACAGAGCTAGACAGAAATTTTTATAACAGTGATTATATGATATGTTACACTACAAAATAAATACATTAATTAATATTTAATAATAAATTTAATTATTAATAATCACGCAATATGATATACAAAATATAATTTAAATAGAGGATTCTTTAGTATTACTCTATCTTTATAGAGTCAAAGTCATCATAATACGTTCTTGGTACGTTCCATCAACATAGTTCTCCAAGTCCAAATCGTCCTTGAAATTTTGATATTCGAGTTTGAATTAATCTATGACAAATTCCATCAACTAACCAATAACATTTTTCATTTCTTTCGCAGGTCGTTTTCAACTTCATCTCAATTTTGTATTCTTTTTTTTCTTGGCTCCACTTAACAACTAAATCCTCTATGCTATCCTATGTCACGACTCACCAACAAGCAATAACTACATATTTATTATATTAGGAATGTTATCTTATATGACAAATAGTATATACAATACAAAAAAAATTAGAAAGGTCACATATTTGAATTATATTAGTGTATCATTTGATGTGTTAAGTTATGTATACATTTCAGGTCAATTAATAAATTTATCTCACTAAATGTTGGTTGTGTGCATTACTTGCCACATGAGATGTTATACTAATGTTGTATAAATATGTGGTTCCCCTTGCATTACTCATGCAGCTGACATTCAATAAGATAAATTCGTTAATTGAAGTGACATGTACGCATAACTTACCACATTAATGTTACACCTAAATGTAAATTGTGATCTTCCTAACATTTTTCTTTTAGCAAGTGTTTTTTTTTTTTTTTGGAAAGTGAATAAGATAATTTTATTGAAAATAACTCAAGGAGCATTCATATCTTGGTTGAGAAGCACCCTAATAGCATCAAGGGGTTCCTCAAACCAATTAACTAAAACACCTTCTACCAAACTTAATTTAGTGAGGCAATGAGCCACACTATCAATAGCTCCTGTATTCAGTAACTATAAAACCCAATGTTGGATAGGTCCACGAGATGATTCTTGCATGCCTCAACAGCTTCAACAGAATCTGTCTCAACCTACACTCATAGAAAACCAAACTAAGATGCAAGCCTGACCCCTCCCTAACAACAAGCAATTCAACCTGCTTCACTGACAAACAGCTTTCAAAACGCCACGTACCAGCCACCATAAAGCCCTCAACACCAACCCCTTATGTCACCTTCGCAGCCCTATCGACATTTAATTTAAACCACCCATTGATAGGGGCTATCCACTTGAGCAATCTTGGAAGTTGCACATGGCTGGGCTGAAGGTTAGCCTAGCGAAAGTCTTGCAACCAACTAAGAGTGCACTGGGCAACCTCCATGGGATCTGAGAGATGCCCTTCCCACAACTTATTCCTTTCCAACCAAAGAGCCCATAACATCATCAAAACAGCATCAAAATCAACTCATTTATGTTCAAGCAGGTACAATAACTATTCCTTATCAATTTCTGCGGAGGAAACCGACACCCACTCCCAATGATGCTGCACACCACACTACTCGAGCGAAGCTACAATCTTAGAGCATATGTTGTAGTGATTCTCATGGGGCATCACAACTAGGGCACAAAGCTTCGACCCGTGCTCCTTTTATAGCAAGATTTTTTCGTGTAGGAAGAATATTGTTGTGAACACGCCATCCACAAATCTTAACCTTAGGTGGAATCCGAGCCCTCCAAATAGCATGCCAAAGACCATGATATGCCCCACCATCTTGATGACAACAAAGCCATCAAATACACTGGCGCACACCTCTCTAAAGCCACCTTATATGCACTTTTTACTGAATACAAGCCTTTTATCATAATGCCACATGATCCTATCCGGCGCCCAACGAAAAGTCAATGGAATGGAGCTAATTAAACAGACTTCCTCTTCATCAAACAGCTATTTTAGAAGTTCAAAACTCCAAGCTCTGTCTTCTTGTAAAATCAACTCACTCACCATTAAATCTTCCATAGACGGGGGTGGTGGCATAAAGACCTTAAATGTTCACGGATGAGGAATCCAGTGATCCCACCAAACTGACGCTAAGGCCCTATCGCCAATGGCCCATCGTGTACCATCCTCCAAAACAAATGGGACTTCACAATACTCTTCCAACAATACGAAGCGTAGGGTGCTCCACTGCTTCCCAAAAAGAACAATTCGGGAAATATTTAGCTCTCAATAGTCGTGCGATAAGGAAGTCCAGCTGCTGCACTAAGTGTCACCCTTGCTTAGATAGAAGTGCAAGATGGAAAGCATAAAGATCCCGAAAACCTAACCCCCTCTTCGGACTTCGGCTTACACATTTTATTCCATGATATCCAATGAATTTTGTGAGTGTCAATATCGCCACTCCACCAAAACTTAGCCATTAATTGCTGAAGTTGTTCACCAAAAGTCTTCGAAAGCAAAAAAGTTTGCATAGCATAAGTCGGAAGAGCTTGAGTGACAACTTTAACAAGTAGCTCTCTCCTCGCACTACTTAAGAGTTTTCCTTTCCAATCTTAAGCCTTTTAGTAACCCTTTCCTTGACAAAAGAAAATGTTTGCCTCTTGTTCTTCCCAACAAAGGATTGGACACCCAAGTAACAATCATGTATGTCCACCCTTTGTACCCCTAAGAAGGAAGCTAGTTGTTCTTGTAAAGCCAGCCCAACATTAACACTAAAAGTAATGCTACTTTTATGGAAGTTTATTGCTTGACCCGATGCTTGAGTATAAACATCCAAAATGTGTTGGACAACCGCACAATCCTCTAATGAAGCACAAGAAAAAATAAAACTATCATCTGCAAAGAGAAGATGGTGCAAACATGGGGCCAACTCTACAATACGAATCCTTTGGAACTCCCCTATCCGATCTTTCTACGCAATGACAGCTAATAATCCTTCAACACAAAGTAAAAAAAAAATATGGAGAGAGGGGATTACCTTGTCTCAAGCCCCTAGACGGTACTAAATACCCTTTCGCAACACCATTAACCAAGAAGGAATATGAGACTGAAGAGACACATGCCATAACAAGATGAATCCATGCTTCCCCAAATCCTAGACGACGCAACATCTCTTCCAAGAAACACCACTCAACACGATCATAGGCCTTGCTAAGATCCAATTTAAGAGTTAGGACACCATTTTTCCCACTTCTCTTATTGTGTAAAAAATGCCCCACTTCCGCCACCACCAAAGAGTTATCAGAGATTAATCGTCCAGGGACAAAGCACTTTGAAAGGGCAAAATCAACTTAGACAAAAGGGGTTTCAAACGATTGGCAATTACCTTGGCACAAATCTTGTAGAGAACATTACACAAACTAATCGGCCGTAACTGAGTCATGCCCTGAGGCTCTTTAACCTTCGGAATCAAAATGACATATGTAAAACACACTTCCTTGAGAAGCTTCCTAGTGGAGAAAAACTCACGAACTGCATACACCACATCCTCCCCTACAATATGCCAGAACTTTTGATAAAA